TTGCTAGAATGCGACGGAAATTTGATTGGTGTGATTCGTCTTAGATGATTAGACAAGTTTGTCGTCTTGGACAAATTGATTTTTATTGGCTTTGAAGCCGCTTCCGTTTTGTTCACGACTTGATTACAGCTTTCTTCTTATACCCCTCTCTGCCCCCCTCCTCACTCCTCTCTTGTCCCCGGCAGCCTCCCGAGTGGTTTTAAAAAATTGGTGAGATTCGGCTCTCTTAGCGCATTCACAGTTTGTTTTCAATATGCTTGAAACTTATCAAAGCTTTTTTTAGATTCTTCTCACGCCAGCTGCAGTCTGCATTACTAGTTTACATACTAGTTTACACCGTTGGCAGCGACTGCATATTTGACTTCAACTTCTTGCAACCTTTTTTGCTTTTGGTCAGTGGAATTGCAATAGAGCTATTACCTGATATTACCAAATAGCCTGAAGTCAGTCTGAGTTGCTTCACTGATAACTTCTACTCTGTTGAGTTCTAAAAGCTCCATATGGTATTAAATCACATGCTATAGTAGAGTAACAAATGGTTTTGGCAAGATGAAGACGAGTGTTTAAATGAAGCAGTCATTTCGTATATGGGCTGCAGTTGTTCCAGAAGAACATTGAATCCTAATCATCCTCAGTTGTCAGACTTTTCAATTATTCGTTCTATTGGGCGAGGAGCTTTCAGCAAGGTGGCGTTTTTGAGACTTTTATCATTGTGAACTTCGCCACTTCAGTAAATTTTATTTCGAGTGGTTTATATCGATGTTTAAGGAAATTTTTAACAAACAATAAATTGGTGTGGAAGGCGATCGCGAGCATCTATCTTTTTCCCTCTTCAATGCGTAAAAAAGTTACACTTTTTTCTACGTCAGGTTTTCCCATTGACATTATTCTTTTCAGCTTTGTATAGTCAAATATCGCAGGGATGGTCAACGTTATGCATTGAAATACATGAGTAAAAAACGCTGCGTCGTCCAAATGGTTACGAAAAACGTCCTACGCGAACTAGATTTATTGACTCAAGTGTCGCATCCATTCATTGTTAATTTGTGGTTCTCCTTTCAGGTAAAAACTTTGCTTTTCTTTGGAAGCTCTTTTATGAGAAAAGAGTGGTTTTTTTTGATGAAAATTATCTCTCGCATCACTTTATTAACGAAACAAATTCAGCACTGTAAGTAGCTAATTAAGGACCATTTCAGGATGCAGAATATATGTATATGGTTACTGACCTGTTATTGGGTGGGGATTTGCGGTATCATCTTAACGAGCAAGGGAGATTTTGTGAGGACAGGTATAGTTTACCTACGAAATTCATTTTTTGCCGGCCGTTGGTGTTAGTTCTTATTTGAGTTACTGGAATTTTTAGAGCAAAACTGTATATTTGCGAAATTGCTCTCGCCCTCGAATACCTTCATGGTGAGAATATTGTGCATCGTGATGTAAAGCCAGAAAATATTCTGTTGGATGATGACGGTCATGCGCATTTAACAGATTTTAATTTGGCTGCTAGACTTCAGCCAAATGTTTTGGCTACCTCATTTTCCGGTTAGTGTTTGGCTCTTAATCGTTAAAGAATAGTTTTTAGCACTTATACACCTAATGAACAGTTGAAAAACTAAGACTTTTAGGAGTTAAGATATAAGAGGGTTGCAGCACAGGGATGAGTTATCTCCCGGGATTTCATTAGTCTCTTTTGGTATCCTTTAAGTGCGACAGCTATTACTGCCAGACAAAAAATATTTTGAGAAATTTTTGATTTTGTCAAACTGAGTTGCAAGGAGCTTTCGCATCGTGAATAAATAATCGTGTTAGGGATCTCGAAGTATTGAAGTTCTGAATGCAAATTTTAATATTCTTTATTTTGTTTGCAGTCATTCTGTCTTAATCTCAAATTAATATTCAAGTATGTCCCACAGTTACTGCATTTCTACTGGACTACTCGCAATGACAGTAAAAACCAAAACTGGAAATTTGCAACAGCTTCCAGTCTTCCGGCGTTTTGGAAAGGCGAAGTTTTATACAGAATTTTTTGCTCTCTGAGAGTGTCCAAATAAAAACACGGTGTGGCATGGTGCCGAAGTCTTCGACAGTCGAAGGCTGAACCAACATCATGAAAAATTGTTGCGACAAGATTTTGCTGCAGAGGAACACGTGAGCTTCAGTAGTACACAGGTACTAAAATTTCGATTGATTAGAGAGGCTTCATTAATTCCGAAACGTTATTGCAATTTAGGGTATATTGTGGTTCCCAGATCCCTTATTTTCGAACTGATGGCTACATTTTTGATCAGGTGATCACTTTCGAGTCACGGGGTGGGCGGTTTCAATTCCACGTAAGTTCATCATCGTTTTTTCCTGTCCGAGTTAAGCAGGGAATGTCTAGTCGTTTGAATAGCTTTACGCTGAAGCTTTAAAAAATCTTGAACTCTCACGGGTAGCTTTAGGATAAGGACCTTCATTTGTGTGAACCCAGGGAGGGTTTTAAAACAAATAAGCACCACTTACTCTAAGCTAAAGTGCCACAGGATTACAGTTTTTCATGATGCTGCTTCATCCTCCGAATTGCGGTACTAAGCTGCTGATATTTTCCTTTGCTTCTTACACGTTTTTCTGGAAATTTCCTTTAAAATTTTTACGTGTAATAAAGGCAACCATTCTGACAGTTTATTTTCTCCTCAATTCTGACAGTTTTCCCATGACATAACTTATAAGTGCTTATTTGAGTGCTGATGAGACCTAAGTGAATCAACTAGCTGTTACTGCATTGAGTTCTTGGAGTTCACGTTTGATGAGTTTATCTTTTTTTTTGAGTATTCCTCTCATTTCTCTGAAGTTTCCCATTTGTGTAGTCTTCCCCTTCTTGAATGCCTATGAGTATATTTTTTTGATAAAAAAATTTCTCAGTTATCATTCTTACAGATCGCATTCTTACAGATGAAAAGCGCACAAGTAGTGTGCTTTTCAGTATGCGGAATTTCAGTCCAGCTTTGATCTGCAGTGGCGTTCAGATGTAGTAGATAATGCTCGTTATTAATTACGAAAGTAAATCAAAATTAATACCAGAAAAGGTACTATAGTGAGACTATTTACTTTGCTCCTCCAATCTTCACTCCCACCATCGTACTCTCCTCCTTCCTTACAGTAAAGCTGAGTTAAAAATTAGGTTACTATCCACCTTCATCGCGCATTGCTGCAGACTAAAAAAAACAGCCTCTTAATGACGTCTACAGCAGTGTAAGTGTGAGTAGCGACAAGAGTTACTGAAATTTATGCAAGTAATTTCAGGGGCCGCTAATGACTTTGCAGTTCTTTCAGAACTACTTTAACGTCAGCTTTAGATACTCCAAGCAGAAGCTTTGATTTCATTGCCACACGTAGACTCAAACTTCCTCCTATTAAACTGCAGAAGAGGCTGAAGTTTTATATCTGTATTTAGTTGAATTTGGCTGAGCATTTAAAACCGGTAGAGTGCATAGTGCATCGCTTGGATGCAGACAAATAGTTTTTAGTACGGGAACTCCTCGAAACTTACGAAGATGGGCGTCATACTTTATAAAAGCTGTTCATGGTTGAGTTGTAAGCTTTAAAGGAAACGCTGAGACAAGCAGTTGCTTAGGAAGCACTTAATTTAATCTTCGCACAAGCTAAGCCTGGGTCTGTAATCATTTACTACCACGCGCGAAACGGACGCTTTACCCATATAGTTGAGATCGGTCTCTATTTTAATTGTCCTTTTTCCTGGTGCCGCTTCCTTACAGAGCCCTCCCATGTATAGTAACCGACTTCAGTTCTTAACTGTAACTGCTTTATGGCCTATAACACTAAAACGTATCGCAGTAGTGCGATGATTGTATACAGTATATTTAACAATAGTATATAGTAATACAGGGGCAAAAACAGCAGAATAGCAGCAAAATTATCTCTTTTTCTGGAAATGTTTCAGAATTGCTGTGTTTATGATGCTACATTTTTCTACTGAAACTTTCAAGAGGGGCGCAGATGCTATAAGTATTTTACAGATATCCAAATTTATTTATCTGAAATCAAGATTTGGAAAAAAGGACGAGAAGAACAATTACGCGAGAGAACCTTGTTCAAAATATATAAACAACGAAACTGTTTTACGAAGTTCTTACAGTCGATATTAGGATTCTAAATTTGGCTCTTTTTAAAATCTATACCAAAAACAAAGAAGTAATCCATTGCTTATTTGAGCATTTGTTTTTTTATATTTTACTTTTGTAGTCTAGAGCAAAAATCCAATTTTAAACAGCCATTCTTATAAATACCACTTTTCTTGTTTGTTTTTATTAAGCTTCAAAAGTTGTTTATTAAAGTACATCCTTCTCAATTACGCAAACTTCCTTCGCTCCTGCACGTTTACACTATCTTGCGCTTTTGTACCTGATTTTCTGCCTTTAAATTTTTAGTGGCACAAAAGACTCTGCACACACTGTCTGGAACTGTGATTAGAAAGGCTTTTACAAACCTGCAGCATTTATACTTGTTTTAAGCCAGAATCTGATGCGATAAAGTTGGTCAAAAATCTAAGCAAATTTTTCATTTGGGCTTGAACAGCAGTGCGTAGCGCTTCCAATTTGCCTTAACTAATGTACGCCGCAAAAAAAAAAGTAGCAAAAGAGCGTGATCCTGAATTACTACTCCTTATAGGCAATAAAACTCTCCTATTCAAGGAGGAGGAAACGGGAAGAAAGTGAAGATGAGGGGACTTAAGACTAAGTAAGAGAAAAATACGGAGATAGAATCCGATAACTTTTTCTACTCCCACTTCAAGAAACATCCTAGAAAACGTGACTCTACCTTTTAAAAACAGACTTCTTCCAAAAAGTACTCTGTCTAATGAAAAAAAATCAAATAATCTTTGTTAAAACCAATATAATAATGTCTTCAATTTAATTTTCATCCTTTTCCAGTATAGAAAACATTTTTATTTATGAGTGGTCTGTGTGCGTGATATTTTTGTGGACGGTATGTAGCACGAAGGCTAGAATCCTTTAAGCTTTTGCAGTTTTTCGCCAAATATGCTTTCAGGACCGAGCGTTTTTAAAACTTAAAAGAAAAAGGCCCCTTAGAATTTTGTTAGCAATATGTAGGTTTACGCACTCTACAACTATAAAATTCCTCTTTAGAGAGGAAATGACTACAGAATGCAGTTGTAACACTCTGAATACTATGCATTGCTTACTGTTCGCTCTGGAATACAGCTTTGGTATCACTGGCAAGAAATAAAAAACACGTTGTCCTCAGCAAGTTAGTGGTTTTAAAAGACAAAATTACAATTTTCCAACCCATTTAGCCTTTCGTTTTCCAGATTTCTTCATTCTGTTGCCTTAGCACAAACTTGTCTCATTTGCATGCAGAGTACAGTGGATGTTAATTCAAAAAATTAGAGATATAAAAGTTGCAAAATCGTTGCGGAAGAAGTCCTCTTTCAGATTTCTTTGCCTCCACAATTTTATTACCTCGCTGTCCTAGGTACTTCCTAAAATACTCCAATTACGTACATATTTCAATTGATTTGGAAGCAGGCAGTCTGGCTATGTGCAGCTACCTTCTCTAAACTGAATGACAGTTTGCAAATTTCCTGTTCTTTTTATAGCACTTTTGAAGGCTGATACAGTAATTTCAATAGTAATGCCAACCATACCACGATTTTTCAGTCATTGATATGATTCTTGAAGCATGCTTTACATGTCATTATGTGCTAAAATAGTTGAAAGATTTTACGTACTGTATTCTTGCAGAATGAAGTATAATTAATAAAATGAAGTCTTTTGTTTTCTTGAATCTAAATTCTGATTACTGAACATATTTAATGAATTATAATTAAACAACTGTGGAGGAAGCACTGAGCGAAGGGAAACTGCAAAACTTATGCAGGCGGTAAAATTCAAAGACGAATATCTTCAGTAACATCCGCCGTCGCTTCACCGTTTTGGCTATCCGGACTTGTAATATGGAAATACACATGGTTCTTCAGCATAACTGTTTTGAGGAAAAACATTTGTGAAATTTTTTATATGCTCGCTGATATCCTTAGCAAGTAAACACAGATCAAATTGCATTTATGCAGTGCAGTTTCTCTCTTAGTCTGGATAAGCCTTCTCAACTCTCGTTATACTCGAGTGTCTTAAATATCCTAAACTTATATTTACAAAAAAAGATTAAAAACTTGTCTGTTCTTGCTAGAGATCCGCAGCATCTTTTTCCTTCACACGATCAGGCTCCAGTTACTTTAGCTTTAAAAATAATTTCTGAGGATTGATAAATTTACCTAAATTTACCTATGGGGTTCTAAATTTTCAAGTTAGCGGATATTATTTGAGTTTTACAGGCGTCTAGAACTAAAAAAAGCGCATAGGATTTCTTGCAAAGTGCTATTTCTAGGGACCAGACCGTACATGGCTCCTGAAGTTATATTGACTGCCTTGGGTCATGCGAACGGGTATGATCATCGTGTTGACTGGTATTCACTTGGCGTATGCTTCTACGAAATGCTGCTTGGAAGAAGGCCATATATATACAGTTCCCAAGCGTCTTCAGAAGAGGTATCTGTAAGCAATTGAATGCTCTTGTACTCCTCCTCAACAGCTGTGGCTTACGCCACCTTCAATAAATTCGTCATTTGCAGGTGCTACGATTGATGAGTGGAGAAAGGTTTGTACGTCCTGCAAATTGGCCATCTGATCTGCTAAACTTCATATCATCAATCCTCAGATTTGACATAAGGACTAGAATTACTTCACTTGAAGCGTTCACTAAGCACACCTATATGTCAAGAATTAACATGGATAACGTTCTTGCGCTGTAAGTTCCTGCTATGGGCTTATGCACTATTATTTGAGCCTCACCTCTAAAACTCTTCCTCAAATGGGGCAGCATTAAAAATGTCTATTAAAGCTACTAACTCAGAAGTGTTAATTTTAGTACACCACTTCAAAGCTCTGTATTAAAATGTTTAGCTTAAAGCCAATAAATTTCAGAAAAACTGTTCCTGGTTTCATACCTCGAGGTGACTCGTTAAATTGCGATCCTACATTCGAATTAGAGGAACGAATAGTCAATTCTTCAACAATATACAACACAGGAAAGAAAACAGTGAAAAACGAAGAAAGCCTTCAAAAATCGATCGACCAGTTCTCTGCAGCATTTTACTGTTATAATCGAAAATTTGCCAATTCAACAAACGAAAAGCTCTTCGTAGATAGAGGAACATAGGAACTTTTCGCATAGGATTATCCCATTGATGAGGACACAAACAGTCCTTCCGTTGTCTAAATTTTTCCAGTTATTTGTACGCACTAATAATAATTACCACCATTAACGCCTCATTTGAAGCTCTGTACTTAATTTTTTTAGGGTTTGCTCGTTATGTACTGCCGTTTCTGTTTTTAGTGGCGTAAAGTTTTGAATTTAAGTTCTACAAAAAGGGGACTCACTACACCAGACGACGATGCAGCCTACAAAATTTATGTGGGACATTCAAATTATCAAAAAAATTTAATCAAATCTTTACGCTGTTTAATAACACGTATCTACTGAACTTTGTCTTTCATAATAAAATGTGATTTTAGTCTACTCGGACTCTCACTTGCACAGTATTTGAAACTTTTTTGTAATTTAACGCCCCGGAGATTCTAACTATACCGCGCTGATAATATGCTATGGCAACTTCTTTTAACCCTATTATCTCGGCCCAATTATGCTGGTCCTAGTCTGTTTCTCTAATTACCAGGTGGAAATCCGGTATGAACAAAACTTATAAGATGTAAAAAATTAGTGGTGCAAGATTGGTTAAAGCTTAATATAAAATTTTTTGGAATATTATGACCGAAATTGTTAGTTATTTAGCCCGAAGTCCTTTCTGTTTAACAGCTCATAAAAATTTTCGTATGGAGACAGCGTAATAGGGTCAATTCAGTTAAGTCCTCAAGGTACAGCGCGTATGAAAGGGCGTAATACTATGATAAGGGAAAACTACTCGTTAAGATCAAATCGCCAACTGGCACATCGGATTCCGTTACCAAAACAGTGGAACACGGGTAATGTAAATGGTAATTCGAGAATCCTGTAACCCACTTTTGAAGCCTTGTTGTGTTAAGGAACAGAAAGTGTCTTAAATGATGAAGACCTGAATGTCAGAATTAATCTAGAAGGAGGCTGCTGTTCAAGTTCAAGTTTTGATGTGCGCCCAGCAAATTAGGGTATCTAAACTAGTCTCTGCGACCATTTATATTAGATAATGGATATGTGAGCGCAGCTAGTAAACATGAGCAAAACTTGAAACAAGACTTCTCTATCAGGCTTTCATTTTAGCGGTGGGAATGAGTCCATTGATGGAATAATAAATATAGAACCAAACTTTTTTAACAGCTTAGAACTGTAAGAAACATTACACAAACCGCAAAGCAAAAAGTGAATTTCAAAGACCTATGAAGCCAGCTCCACTCATAATCATTTAAAAATGTGTATAAATGGCTATCAGAACTTAGATTGTGTTCCAACACGTTATTCCACACGGCTCTAGTGTTTTCTTAATCACTAGCGCAAAATTCCATTTGTTAATAATCAACTGGAGCAGACGACATAACACAAGACAGCAGAAATTTATAGATCAAACGCCTTTCAATTGGAGAACTGCTTCAAACCTTCCAAATTTTAAGTTAAAAGTCAATAAAACAGAAATCATTTCTCTTAATGGAAGCAGAGGCTGACTTGCAGCTGTAAAAGTGCAGATCCTTTGCGAAAAAAAGTTTATTCGCCCTCCTTTGGTTTAGCTGACATCTTTCAACTTTAAAAATTATCTGAAATTCTAAATAGAAAGGCACTTTAGAATTTGCCAATAAGTTCTGTAAAGGCTATAAGACTGCTCCAAACATATTAGAACAGGTACAAAGTGACACTGGCAAAAACACCACTCAGGGTTAAAAAGATCTAAGTACAGATGAAATTACTAATATTTACATAGAAAACCTCTTAAAAATAAAGAGCTTGAACTATGACCACGCCTATAACACTATATGCAGAATTGTAGAGTTCCGAAAAAATTCAGTTTCGCTGTTAAAGCTTTCTACTTATAACAAAAATTTCATAAACAACACCTTCAAAATGCAAATGCAACAGTAAGAGGACAGCCTTCGAGCGGTTACTACAAAACAAACTTCCTGACTTTCCAACCGAGAGCACTTTACGTAGCAGTACCCACACAGGTAGGAATTTTTGTCGCATAAAAAAATTCCAACTACCTATTCAGGAAAACTTCGCAGCTGAACGAGGCTATACAAAGAAGAATAATCCCTTGCTTTCATTAAAATTCATGTTCTACACGTAGTTAAAAGTTAAAGTTTTTGTATATCAAAGAATCATGGAATTGATTCACTTTCTAACCTACTTTGTCCCCTCTTCATCGCGGCGAAATATTTCACGACGATCTGCAGTCGAATAAACGCCACCCAGCTCCAAAAGAAACTTGTCAGGATTGTCGTCCCAGTTACCCGGCAGCGGGACCTGACACAGAATTTCGGTTAAATAAGCATCGTTCCTGCAGTTTCCTGTTTGGAAAATAAACATCTCGGATAAAAAATCCGCAATCAAGATACCTTTTGGTTTTTTTCTACTTGGCGTTTCTGACGCTCTTTTTGTTTTTGCTGGTCATCAAAGACATCTGCACCACCACACCCGTAAACCTATTAAAAGATACAAATGATAAAGTCAACTCTTGCCCACCCTAACATTTTCATTTGTTCATTACGTCACTTTGATTCTAAATTGTTGAAAAATGGTACCCAATTATTCACTCTACATGCATTTATTGCTTAAAAAACTCAATTTAACAGTTTCAACTGCCAAAAAATACTCTACCTCAACTGCAGCAACATTGGCCATTTCCTTGTCAATAGTAGCGCACTGATCTAATGATAACTTCATGGGGCAATTCCGAATTTTAAAATTGCAGTAAAATGAGGCACCCTCCACGCGACGATATTGTGGAAGAAACTGAACTAATATAGTGCTAGAAGAGCTAAACGAAGATCCACTGTTTCTAAACAACACACATCAGATGATTTGTAAAAGTTCAAAAGAAAACAAAATTTACAGAACCATTACAGTCATATCACACCAACTGTGAAACCAAAAATCTATGAAAAAAATTTTTGTAAAGGTGAACTGTGTTTGGCTGCAGACGAGCAAAAAACTATGGCTGGAAATAACAACTCTCAACAATTAGTTTTACTGATTTCTGATCATTTTACAGTACATTTCCTGCAGTTAACAAAAATTACTCCACTGTTAATGCTTGAAGCAAATTTCAGAAAAAATAAGCAAAATAAAATCCTTGTTTGTGCTTTAAAAAGAGTTAAACTAATCTTTCCGCATAAATTTGTAAATTTTATGTAATCTCAAAAAAAAAAAAACAAAAAAAAAAAATATTTCGCCACATCCCTGGCATCTATCGGAAAGTTTCGCAAAGTAGTCCCTTCACTTTACGGAAATCAAAAACTCCCCATTATTTCGTTAAATAAACCAAATGTCTGGTCATGTTCAGTCATAAACTGGCCCATCCATCTAAGAAACTCAGAATATTCTTAATCAATGTATTTTATCAAGATATACAAAGCCCCAAAATGATCTTTTTGCAAATATCAAATTAAGAAGCAGAGAACGAAGCAAAACAGAAAAATTACACTAAACACAAGTAAACAGCTTTTGAGGTTCTTAGCAAACGCTATAAATGTGATATAAACGTTTCAGAAGCGTCCCAAAATTCGAAAAGTAGTTCAAATTCGACAAAGTTCCAACGCTTTGGACATTGCCATAAAGAGTTATTAATCTGTTACTTTCTCGTATTTCAAAGAAGTCTAATTCTCTAACTAAACAAATTTAAGTGAACTTTTTAAACTCTCCAGTCGAATATCAAGTTTTACGCTACAGCCAGCTTATACAAAAAGAAACAAGGCGAAAACATGAGGCGCAAAAAATGTACAATGGAGCGTCTAAAACACTAAATAAAGCTAACGTAGTGTAAAAGATTTAC